CCTACTCACAATACAAAACATCCATACTTATTACTGCACCTACTACATACATAGACACTTAACTCTGATATTAACCCTCCCCTCAAACATCTCCTTACCAACCTCAACAGAACACATGACCATAACACAAGACACAGATCACTCTTCGATGCTCCTCGTGTCCACCACACGCTATGCAAAAACTCAATGCACATAAAAGGCCCTAAAATCTGGAATTCATTACCTGTGAATATAAAAGAAACACTGTCGGTTTATAAATTCAAGTCTCTACTTCAAAATCACTTACACAACCATAACAAATAAATAAACAAAACTACCTTTTTCACATACACACAAATGTAGTTTTTATATATCATACATTTTACCAATTTGAATTTGTTTGTGTCTATATTACAAAATTCCTTTGGTGTATACTAATCCTTCTTTCTTTGTAATTTAATGAGTCTTTGCAAACACTTAATCAATTAGTCTAACCACTCATACACCTAATTGCTGTTACAAATGTATTCCAGCATTGCTACATTAAACTACTCATCATTAGATATAAGATAAGATAAGGCAGCAAAGGTTAATGGGGAGAAGATAATAGTAAACACCTGCTCCTTGGCTATTTTCAGAGATTAATTATATAGTAGTATGAATTTTACAATACATATTAAGTTGATGAAAGTTAGGACCAAGGACTCCAATGGAAATGAAAAATGAAAATATTTATTTCCTTGTAAAGCTTACAATGTGTGGTTTACATGTTATAAAATACTAATTACAAAGAAGGCCACTAGCATGCCTAAGCATTTCAGGCAGACTAATACTAATTCTTACTCTATATTGACACAAATTATGGAGCAGTAAATTTTAACATACATTACTGCAAATGTACTGATTTAAAAGTTAGGTAACTGAAGTGATTAATTAAGTTATAATAGTGAGGTACACCAAAACATATAACAATATTATAATTAGTAAATTTAGTAATGAGAATGGTTTTGTCTTGGCATGATACATTGTTTCTATTAAAGTTCCTATATTGAGAGAGTATCTTAGGCAAATTTAGGACTAACTTAAGATTTATTAGGCAATAGCTATATTTGGAATTTCATGTTTACAGTCATTTCAGTGGGTGTAAGTGGAAATTACGGGGAATTACAGATGATGAGAGTAAGTCTATTTTGTTTTACTTGGAGTTTACCTGGAGAGAGTTCCGGGGGTCAACGCCCTCACGGCCCAGTCTGTGACCAGGCCTCATGGTGGATCAGAGCCTGATCAACCAGGCTGTTACTGCTGGTTGCACGCAATCCAATGTACGAGCCACAGCCCGGCTGGTCAGGTACCGACTTTAGGTGCTTGTCCAGTGCCTGCTTGAAGACAGCCATGGCTCTATTGGTAATCCCCCTTATGTACACTGGGAGGCAGTTGAACAGTCTTGGGCCCCTGACACTTATTGTGTTGTCTCTTAACGTGCTAGCAGCACCCCTGCTTTTCATTGGGGGGATGTTGCATCGTCTGCCGAGTCTTTTGCTTCGTGAGGAGTAATTATCGTGTGCAAGTTTGGTACTAGTCCCTCTAGGATTTTCCAGGTGTATATAATCATGTATCTCTCCCGCCTGCGTTCCAGGGAGTACAGGTTCAGGAACTTCAAGCGCTCCCAGTAATTGAGGTGTTTTATCTCCGTTATGCGTGCCGTGAAGGTTCTCTGTACATTTTCTAGGTCAGCAATTTCACCTGTTCTATCTAGGCTGAAATATTGCTGTTAGTGTGCAGCAATATTCCAGCCTAGATAGAACAAGCTACCTGAAGAGTGTCATCATGGGCTTGGCATCCCTAGTTTTGAAGGTTCTCATTATCCATCCTGTCATTTTTCTAGTAGATGCGATTGATACAATGTTATGGTCCCCGAAGGTGAGATCCTCTGACATGATCACTCCCAGGTCTTTGACGTTAGTTTTTTGCTCTATTTTGTGGCCGGAATTTGTTTTATAGTCTGATGAAGTTTTAATTTCCTCATGTTTACCATATCGAAGTAATTGAAATTTCTCATCGTTGAACTTCATGTTGTTTTCTGCAGCCCACTGAAAGATTTGGTTGATGTCCACCTGGAGCCTTGCAGTGTTTCCAATGGAAGACACTGTCATGCAGATTCGGGTGTCATCTGCAAAGGAAGACACGGTGCTGTGGCTGACATCCTTGTCTATGTCAGATATGAGGATGAGAAACAAGATGGGAGCGAGTACTGTGCCTTGTGGAACAGAGCTTTTCACCGTAGCTGCCTCAGACTTTACTCTGTTGACTACTAATCTTTGTGTTCTGTTTGTGAGGAAATTATAGATCCATCTACCAACTTTTGCTGTTATTCCTTTAGCATGCATTTTGTATGCTATTACGCCATGGTCACACTTGTCAAAGGTTTTTGCAAAGTCTGCGTATATTACATCTGCATTCTTTTTGTCTTCTAGTGCATCTAGGACCTTGTTGTAGTGATCCAGTAGTTGGGACAGATAGGAGCAACCTGCTCTAAGCCCATGTTGCCCTGGGTTGTGTAATTGATGGGTATCTAGACAGGTGGTGATCTTGCTTCTTAGGACCCTTTCAAAGATTTTTATGATATGGGATGTTAGTGCTATCGGACTGTAGTTCTTTGCTATTGCTTTACTGCCCCCTTTGTGGAGTGGGCCTATGTCTGTTGTTTTTAGTAGCTGTGGGATGACCCCAGTGTCCATGCTCCCTCTCCATAGGATGTTAAAAGCACATGATAGGGGCTTCTTGCAGTTATTGATGAACACGGAGTTCCACGAGTCTGGCCCTGGGGCAGAGTGCATGGGCATGTCATTTATCGCCTGTTCGAAGTCATTTGGCATCAGGATAACATTAGATAGGCTAGTGTTTACCAAATTCTGTGGCTCTCTCATAAAAAATTCGTTTAGATCTTTGACTCTCAGTCTGGTTAGCGGCTCGCTAAAAACTGAGTCATACTGGGACTTGAGTAGCTCACTCATTTCCCTGTTGTCATCTGTGTAGGACCCATCTTGTTTAAGTAGGGGTCCAATACTGGACGTTGTTCTCGACTTTGATTTGGTATAAGAATAGAAATACTTTGGGTTTCTTTCGATTTCATTTATGGCTTTTAGTTCTTCCCGTGATTCCTGGCTCCTATAAGATTCCTTTAGCTTTAGTTCGATGTTTGCTATTTCTCTGACAAGTGTCTCCCTACGCATTTCAAATATATTGGCCTCTTTTAGCCACTCTGTTATTCTTTTCTGTCGCCTGTAAAGGGAGTGCCTGTCTCTTTCTATTTTACATCTACTCCTCTTTTTTCTTAAAGGAATATGCCTTGAGCATACATCGAGTGCCACAGAGTTAATCTGTTCTAGGCATAAGTTGGGGTCTGTGTTGCTTAGTCTATCTTCCCAGCTTATATTGTTTAGGACTTGGTTTACTTGGTCCCACTTTATGTTCTTGTTATTGAAGTTGAATTTGGTGAAGGCTCCCTCGTGACTGATCTCATTTTGTCAGTCTGGGGCTCCGTGCATACGTCTGAACCTCGATTATGTTGTGATCCGAGTACGTATATCATTTTTTATATGGTGACATTTCATATGAGATCATCATTGTTAGTGAAGATGAGGTCCAGTGTATTCTCCGGTCTAGTAGGCTCTATTATTTGCTGGTTTAAGTTGAATTTTGTGCAGAGTTTTAAAAGCTCATGTGTGTGTGTGAGTTCTCGTCTGAGCTGCCTCCTGGTGTTATCACTGCAACAACATTATTTGCTATATTCCTCCATTTTAGGTGCCTTTCTCAGTAGTATCAGTTCCCAGCAGTACCAGTTACTAGTAACCAGTTACCAGTAGTACAACTCACTACCAACTGTCTGCATGAATCACTGACTGTTATTCATGTTGCTGCTGACTATAGCATGTTTTTGAATGCCGCTCACCCCTAGGCTTCACTGGTGAGTCAGTTTTAAGATAGAGAGCAGAGAGGCAGGGCAGGCCTATGCTTCCTATATTTTCCGTTATAATTTTACGTACTAACCAGCCTATGTGAGTGTTCTTACCCAATCCACGTTTTGAACCCCACACGACACCTTAGGTTGAAATCTCGCAGGAGCAAGATGTTGGGGGCAGGAACTGGAAGATTTTCCAGATTTTCCAGACAGTGGTCAATTTTCAACAGCTGTTCCTGGATATGTTGGGTGTGTTTGTGATACAAAAAAGAGAATTAGGTGGTTTTCATTTAGTTAGCTGATGATGGGGTGTGTTAGGGAGACAAGATGTTTTATAACGTTAGTTTTGAAAATGGTGGTCGAGTCTGCAGTTCTAGAGTTGTCAGGGAGTTCCAAATTTTAAGCCCTTTTATATACATCAAATTTTTGTAGAGATTTAGCCAGACACGAGGAACGTCATAGAGATTTTTGTTTCTGGTACTGTGTTTACCTGGAGTTTACCTGGAGAGAGTTTCGGGGGTCAACGCCCCCGCGGCCCGGTCTGTGACCAGGCCTCCTGAATATGGGTGTATATGGGTCCTGTTGCAACTATCAAGAAAATGTTTTAGTTCAGGATTAATATTAGAATTTATGGTTCTGTAAATGTAGGTTGCACAGTAGTAGGTGTGAGTAAGTCACTTTGTTTTTGGGTTATTCTAGGTAATTTACACAATGTATGATAACTGTGCTTATGTGTACCTGTGCCTAAATAAAGTTACTTAACAGATATAAGGAAACATGTGCAACGTTTCCACTCATTCATGGATCAAACCCTGCGACTTCAATTGAGGGGAAGGCATAACACTTGAGTCATGATTATACAGATTTTAATAACAAGATGATATACAGAAATGTGGATAAATGAGTCATTTACTTTATATACAAAATATATTTTGGATGGTTTGAGAATATAATGTAAAAGGCAAAGTTCTTTGTGATGGCGAGTCAGAGCATTACTCGTCTTTCCTCCCCCACAACATATATTTATCAAGTTAACAACTAACTTCAGAACTCATCTCACCTACGGATAGCCTTGCTTGCTTTATCCATCTTAGTAAAAGTGAAGCCGAGCAGAGGATAACGTTGGTCTCAGGTTACAGCAGAACAGCACACCATCCCGCCCATTGTTTACCTCCTCAAGTTTATTTACAGGCAAGAGGCAGCAGCACCCCCCCCATTCCTACCCCCCCCCCCCCAACAACAACCACCAGGGTCTTACTCACAGAAAACTGACCATCGTCCAGGGCTAACTTGTCTGTCTCTTCTGGCCCATTGTGAGTGTTGAACCCTAAGTCAACTAGATGCATTGCGGTCGTTGCACGATAGGTAAGTCTTTTTTTATGTACAGTTATCACAAATAAAACTATATATTCACATTTTCATTACCTCAAGCATATGAAAAACTATATATCCTCATTACCTGTAATCCTTGCAACAATTGAGTATAATGAATGTATGCAATAATTGCTAACATGTGGTACAAGATGCAGAATAGCCACAGAGGGAAATGAATGATAGCACTAGGCCTCTCGTGCTGCAATAAACACATCATGAGGAGCATGTAATGTTGAATAAATGAGTAGGAAGTCCAATAGTTAGTTTAATATCTTTATTATGCACCCCATACCCATCGTGTGGGCGGTAGTCAAAAGATTACAGAGGTACATAATGGGTCCAGGGACTGGACCCCAAAGTTATGATAGCTGAACTAGTTACAAAGGTAATGAACTCCAGGTAGATCTGGTCACAATCATGGCAAGTTACAAAGGTAATGAATCAGCCTCACTCCTATACATGGTTACAGTCATGAACAAATTACAAACTAATGAACCACTGATACGTCCACACCTGGTCACAATTGTAATGAGTTATAAATACAAGTATTAAGTGGGTCATACACCCACACTAGCACGCGCGCACTCACATACACACACGAGGGCGCACGCACAGACATATGCACACGAGCGTACAAATATATGCATACACACAAGCACGCACACCCACACACACACGAGCATACAAATATATGCATACACACAAGCATGCACACCCACACACACACGCATACACACACCCACACCCACACACCCACCCACACCCACACACCCACACCCGCACACACACCCACACACACCCACACACACGAAGTCCAAGCAAAAGCAAATATAATCAGGGAAAAGTGGTTATTTTATTCGGATTTTTAACCCCGGAGGGTAAGCCACCCAGGATAACCTAAGAAAGGCATAGCGTCATCGAGAGAGTGTTTGTCTTATTTTCATTGGGGTCCTCAATCTTGTCCCCCAGGATGCGACCCACACCAGTTGACTAACATCTTATCTTACCCAGGTACCTACTTGTTAGGTGAACAGGACAACAGGTGTAAGAAAACGGGTCGAAATGTTTTTGTATGAGGAATGAGTTAAAAATGTGCTAATATGCAAATGATTTTTCATTACCTGTAATCATAATCCAACCTGTAATCCTTACAACAATTAAAATTATTAAAATTAAAGTTATTTTTTTTATTTCCTTGTAAAATGTTTGGTTTACATGTTGTAAAATGTTAATTACAAAGAAGGCCACTAGCATGCCTACGCACTTCGGGCATGGCTAGACATTTCGGGCAGACTAATACTAATTCTTACTCTATATTGATATAGGTCATGGAGCAGTACATTTGAACATACACACATTATTAGATAATACAAAATTAGATGCATACCTAGCTAGGCAAATACATAATCAGATTTACATAATTAGATACATACCCAGCCAGGCATATACATAATTAGATTCACATAGGCTCTCGAACAGCTTTTTGGAACAAAGAAAGTTCGAAACTCTGGGTTCCACTGTAATTAGATACATACCCAGCCAGGCACATACATAATTAGATTTACAATTCTGAGATAGTACGAGCCATACAATAATATTACAAGCGGTAAAAATAGTATTGGGATTGGATTTGTCTGTTTCTATTAAAGCTTATATATTGGAAGCTTGTCTTAGGTGAACTTAGTACTAACCTAAGATTTAATAGGCAATAGCTATATTAGGAATTTTATGTTTACAGTCATTTGGGTGGGTGTAAGTGTAAATTAGGTGGAATTACAGATAACGAGAGTAAGACTATATTGTTTTGGTTGTGTTCATGATACAAAAAAAGAACATAAGGTGATTTTCATTTCATTTGGTTAGCTAATGATGGGGTGTGTTAAGGAGATAAGATGTTTTTTTGAAAATGGTGATTGAGTCTGCAATTCTAGAGTTTTCAGGCAGGGAGTTTCAGATTTTAGGTCTTTTTATGATGTGTGCTAAATAATGTATTAATATATAAGTATAATCATAATCCAACCTTGTTTGCTCTCATTGAAATTCCTAAAAATATTGTTTATGAAGTCTTAGAGACGGTATGTATAAGCAGTCAATTAGTTATTGCTATTTTGGTCTTAGCTAGGCTTAAGTTTGCCCGAAATGCTCTGCATAGCAATGGGCTTTCTGCATGCACCTAAATGTCAACCATCTTTGTACAAACATTGTATCATGCTGAAATAAAATAATAAAATTATTATTATTGTGGAAAATTTACTATAAGTTTCCTATAATTAATAATGTGTATGCGAAGTGTTAACATAATGTAATGTAAATATGAAGCATTAATGGTAGTCATAAACTACCAAACTACTTGAACATTCAAGAATCTTCTGCTTCTATCAACTTTTCTGTACTCGACTGAAGAAGCCTACTGTGTAGACGAAACGTTTCGAAATAAAGATACCTGTACATTGCAGAGTCACTTGTTTGCACAGAACTGCTTAATGCCTCAAATGATGTAGTGGAAGTTTTAGCAGTAAAGGTCGAGAACCAAAACCTAGTCATTGTGGTAGTCTACAAGCCTCCGGATGCAACATCCCAGCAATTCCAGGAACAGCTGTTAAAAATTGACCACTGTCTGGAAAATCTTCCAGCTCCTGCACCCAACATCTTGCTCCTGGGGGATTTCATCTTAAGGTACCTAAAATGGAGGAATATAGCAAATAATATTGTTGCAGTAATAACACCAGGAGGCAGCTCTGATGAAAACTCACACTCACACGAGCTTTTAAATCTCTGCACAAAATTCAATTTAAACCAGCAAATAATAGACCCTACTAGACTGGACAATACACTAGACCTCATCTTCACTAACAATGATGATCTGATAAGAAATGTCACCATATCAAAAACAATATACTCAGATCACAACATAATTGAAGTTCAGACATGTATGCGTGGAGCCCCAGACCGACATAATGAGACTAGTCACGAGGGAGCATTCACCAAATTCAACTTCAATAACAAAAACATAAAGTGGGACCAAGTAAACCAAGTACTAACCGATATAAGCTGGGAAGATATACTAAGCAACACAGACCCCATCTTATGCCTAGAACAGATTAACTTGGTGGCACTCGATGTATGCACAAGGCTTATTCCTCTAAGAAAAAGGAGGAGTAGATGTAAAATAGAAAGAGACAGGCGCTCCCTTTACAGGCGACGGAAAAGAATAACAGCGGCTAAAAGAGGTCAATATATCTGAAATGCGTAGGGAGACACTGGCCAGAGAAATAGCAAGCATCGAACTTAAGCTAAAGGAATCTTATAGGAGTCAGGAATCGCGGGAAGAACTAAAAGCCATAAATGAAATCGAAAGAAACCCAAAGTATTTCTTTTCCTATGCCAAATCAAAGTCGAGAACAACGTCCAGTATTGGGCCCCTACTTAAACAAGATGGGTCCTACACAGATGACAGCAAGGAAATGAGTGAGCTACTCAAGTCCCAATATGACTCAGTTTTTAGCAAGCCGCTAACCAGACTGAGAGTCGAAGATCAAAATGAATTTTTTATGAGAGAGCCACAAAATTTGGTTAACACAAGCCTATCCGATGTTATCCTGACGCCAAATGACTTCAAACAGGCGATAAATGACATGCCCACGCACTCTGCCCCAGGGCCAGACTCATGGAACTCCGTGTTCATCAAGAACTGCAAGAAGCCCCTATCACGAGCCTTGCACTGAGACAAGTGCAACCATAATAGACCACATATGGACCAATATACTAGCCCCCCTTAAATCAGGGATAATCACAGATAGCACTACAGACCACTACCCTACCTTCCTCCTGACAAACATTAGTAAACCACCACTTGAATACAACAAAGTCTCATTTAGACTCCATGACGAGGCCTCAGTAAGGAAGTTCACAGCTGACCTAGAGACTGTTGATTGGCCTACAGAATTCTCCAAGGCCAATGGTATTGATGACTGGACAGACATCTTTCTTAACAAATTACTTAGACTATACAACAAACATTGTCCTATAAAAACAAAACAGATCACAAACAAACGGCTTGGTTGCCCATGGCTAACCAGCACCATTCTGAAATCCATTGACAAGAAACACCAATATGAAAAGCAATATAGACAGGGCTTAATACACAAAGATACTCTTAAACACTATTCATCAGCTCTCACCAAAGTAATAAAAAAAGCCAAACAACTATACTACTCCAGTAGATTCACAGACACTAGAGGAGATATAAAAAAAGACCTGGAAAACACTCTCTCAGATTCTAGGGACCCACAAACTGAGAAAAACCAAGAATATTGTCCTAACTAAACCTAATGAAACACCACTACATCCCACTGACACAGCTAACAAGATAAACGACTTCTTCTCAAACATAGGATCTAATCTCGCCAGTAAAATCCCACATACCAATGCCCATGCCGGGACTACCTAGATGGAAATTTCCCTAATTCCTTCTATCTTGCACCAACTGAGCCCACGGAAGTCATTGAGATCATAAAGTCACTTAAAAATAACTCGGGGAATCTGTCTCATGTCCCACCATTACTGTACAAGCGAGCGGCCCATGTCCTTTCGCATGCTATTTCATTACTTTTTAACAAGTCAATAGAGACTAGCACCTTCCCGAAACTACTCAAGATGGCAAGGGTTACACCAATACATAAAGGTGGTGACCCTACAGACTTAAACAACTATAGACCAATATCTAACTTACCATTGCTATCCAAAATCTTTGAGAAACTCGTGCACAGGAGACTGTATTCATTTATAATGGCTCAAAACATACTCAACCCCTGCCAGTTTGG